CCAGTATCCTGGATTGAGTCTCAGAGTTCGCCAGTCTCCTGGACTGAGTCTCAGAGTTCACAATCTCCTGGACTGAGTCTCAGAGTTCACCAGTATCCTGGACTGAGTCTCAGAGTTCGCCAGTCTCCTTGACTGAGTCTCAGAGTTCACCATCTCTGGACTGAGTCTCAGAGTTCACCAGTCTCCGGGACTGAGTATCAGAGTCCACAGTATCCTGGATTGAGTCTCAGAGTTCGCCAGTCTCCTGGACTGAGTCTCAGAGTTCACCAGTCTCCAGGACTGAATCTCAGAGTTCGACAGCCTCCAGGACTGAGTCTCAGAGTTCGCCAGTCTCCAGGACTGAGTCTCAGAGTTCGCCAGTCTCCTGAACTGAGTCTCAGAGTCCACAGTATCTGGTTGAGTCTCAGAGTTCACCAGTCTCCTGGACTGAGTCAAGAGTTCCAGCCTCCAGGACTGAGTCTCAGAGTTCGACAGCCCAGGACTGAATCTCAGAGTTCACAGTCTCCAGGACTGAGTCTCAGCATTCGCCAGTCTCCTGAACTGAGTCTCAGAGTTCGCCAGTCTCCTGAACTGAGTCTCAGAGTTCACCAGTCTCCGGGACTGAGTCTCAGAGTCCACCAGTATCTGGATTGAGTCTCAGAGTTCGACAGCCTCCAGGACTGAGTCTCAGAGTTCGACCAGCCTCCAGGGACTGAGTCTCAGAGTTCGACCAGTCTCCAGGACTGAGTCTCAGAGTTCGACAGCCTCCAGGACTGAGTCTCAGAGTTCGACAGTCTCCAGGACTGAATCTCAGAGTTCGACAGCCTCCAGGACTGAGTCTCAGCATTCGCCAGTCTCCTGAACTGAGTCTCAGAGTTCGCCAGTCTCCTGGACTGAGTCTCAGAGTTCGACAGTCTCCTGAACTGAATCTCAGAGTTCGACAGCCTCCAGGACTGAGTCTCAGCATTCACCAGTCTCCTGAACTGAGTCTCAGAGTTCACCAGTCTCCTGGATCACACTGAAGCGCTCACACAGAACACACACACTATAACACACTTATAAAGTTCCCAGACTCAGCAAGTCCCACAGACCCGGCTTGATTTACACGGCCAGAGGATTTATAGCGCTTCTGAAGAACATAATAACACTTGCAAACATAATAATCATCTGGAGAAATAGAGAAAAAAATCTCTGCCTTTGTTATCTCACAATTACCATTGTGTACTTTATTGCATAATGGGTCTCAACAGTGCAGTTAATGGTATTACTGGCATAAGACCAGCGCTCGGCCTGTAAATAAACATAATGGCACTTTTTAATAAATTACTTCACCTCGACACAACAATAATTTAATCACCCTTATGAAAGAGGGACAGGTTGACAATGCTGGATTTATGATGTTATAGATTAGTCATCATCATTACTCTTGGATCTGTAATATATTTCTCAGATGAATTTGCTAATGTGCCGTCGCTGGCTAAAATGAATATTGGCCGGCTCTTAAAACGCTGGCAGAGAGACGGCTTTCATATGGTCAGATCCAGCAGCATTTACTGCGTCTGATGTACGTTACCTCGCTTTTACCCTGCAGAACTGCTCTCATCTCTCATGCTCTGGGTCCGGCTTCTGGGACACTGATACAGGTCGAGAACTGCACTTTACGTTTACTTTTGCAGTTTACAATTTTTGTTACACTGTTATATTATTATTTTTGTAACACTGACTTACATTTAGTATGTGAAGTTATTAAAAAATACTTAATTATTATTTAAAATTATTAATATAAATATTAATTAATCCAATTTTTTCATATTTTTTAAGGCTAAAAACTATTACAAAAAAAAAATATATATATGTAATGCAAAACCAAATATACATTACATACTACCATTCAAAGCTTTGGGGTTGGTCAGATTTGATGTTTTTTTATTATTATTATTTAATGAAGATTATTAATTTAAAATAGTGCATGGTACATTTTGTAACATTATAAATGTCTTTTGATCAATATAATACATCCTTGCTTAAAAAAAAAACAAGTTTAAATGGTATTATGAATTATACCATGTTTTGAAATATGCTGCTATATTTTGTGTGCACAATGACTAGTTTTCAGACATCTATAGCGAGGACGTCCGTGTGGTCGCATTATTGATGAATGCATGAAATGCTTTGCGATATAATTCTGCTCTCTCCTTTGAGTTATAAGCTGTGTGTTTTTTATGAAGGGCAGGTTTTTTAATGACTTGATATGGAAGCTAACATTGATATCGACTTCTGACTGATGGCACGTCAGCAAAATTTCATGGCGTGGAATTTTTTCTTTTTTCTTTTTGCGAATGTGTTAACGTATGGATGAACTAAATATAGGAGAGCGTTTGATGATGGCGGATTGGGTTTCATCCTGCTCACACACACACACACACACACACACACACACACCCTGCATGATAAAGGTGACCTGATGGCTTTGATTTCAGCAGATTGATTGAACCAGGAAGAGACAGAGACGGCGAGAGGTCAGCGTTCCCAGACCATACCAGACCTGCTGACTATACTGTAAAAAATTTCCGTAAAAATACGGTACAATGTACCATATAAATGTGAAGGATTTTTTTTTCCGTATTTGTCTTTTACGCCTTTTACGGGTCTTTTACCCTTATTTTGAATTACGCGTTGCATTGTGGGAACAAGATCCCGGCAGCGCGAAAAGTTTAAGACGCATCCGCCATTACACACACGCTGATGACCGCGGGCAAAGTTGCTTTTTAGAGCCGGATTTCGGGTGTGTGGAAGCCATTCTGACACTTATGTGGTAAAACTTAAACTTAAAAACGAAAATTATGTTTTGCTTGATGTCAAAAAGCTGTTAACGTAACGTTATTTTTAGTTACCATCTGGCATTAGGCAAATGAATGTCGGAGCCGTCACGTTTATCATTTTATGCATATCGTCACACATTGAAAGATTTAGTTAAGACTCGTGGAGGTTCTCGATTGTAGTGTCCTTGTTGTTGTTGTTGTAATGGGCTTATTTAGTTTTATTTGTCGTGATGCGGTTTATTTCTTGCCGAGCGAATCCGTTAGCAGCTAACCAGTTGTGATAGTTCTAACGTTAGCTAGCTGCTAGTGTTTAGAGCAATTTAATGCCTTCAAACAAAAGCAACCAGAGGAATCGTCAAGAAAAGTAAACGCCATTGACTTGCTTGATTTGAAAGGCATGAAGACACAACGTGTATTTTGTATTCAGACTGTGTGTGAATATGCAGTAACTTAACCGGTACAGCTGGATCAACCAGCACCTTTTCTGCAAAATGAGGTAAGTAAACGTTATGTTTACGTTAGACTTCATGTTTTTGTTTTAGATGACACACACGACTTTAAACCCCAATAATGAAAGATTAATTTACATTTAGCATGACTGCTGTTATCTAAACTTGTGCCTGTGATGTTAGTCATTCTTTCTCTTCATTTGTTTATTTCATAAATGTTTCTGTTGTTTTCTTATCTATTAACAGGACTTTTCTGCTGTAGTTTATATCCCAAACACCACCTGCATGCGTCTTATGGGTTTGTATTTTGTTTTATTAGCATTATTATGAATGTTCAATACTAGGGGTGTAACGGTACACAAAAATCACGTTTCGGTACGTACCTCGGTTTTAAAGTCACGGTTCGGTACGTTTTCGATACAGCAAAAAGAAAGAAATGCCAGAGAAATTTCCTATTTGTTTAAAGAAAAAAATATTTTTAAATAAGTGTGAGTTTTCCTAGATCTTGAAACTTTCAGGTTTATAAATGGGGGTCATCTTTGAAGGATGAACAAATAATGTTTTGGTCATCACACACTCAGAAAAAAAAGGTACAAAAGTTGTCACTGGGGCTGTACCTTTTCAAAAGGTAAACTTTTGTCCATTTCATGAGCTAATAAGTACATTTAGGTGTTAATATGTACATTTTGGGTGTTAATATGTACATTTTAAGTGTCAATATGTACATTTAAGTGTTAACATGTACATTTTAGGTGCTAATATGTCCATTTCAGGAGGTAATATGTCAATTTCATGAGCTAATATGTCCATTTTAGGTGGTAATATGTACATTTGAGGTACTAATATGTATATTTTAAGTGTTAATATGTACATTTTAGGTGCTAATATGTCAATTTCATGAGCTAATATGTCCTTTTCAGGTGGTAATATGTCCATTTTAGGTGCTAATATGTACCACTAAGGTACCAATATGCAGCCTTTGGGTACAAAAGTGTACCTTTTGAAAAGGTACATCCCCAGTGACAGCTTTTGTACCTTTTTTTCTGAGAGTGCATTAAAAATAACATTTAAATATATATTTATTTATATAATATTTGAATTTTGAAGTGTTGGAAAAAGATGTGTGAAGTACTTGAAAGCATTTCACCATTCCAGCCAAACTGGTTCCAGTTAGTGTTACTATATTAAATCCATGGTGAATGTTGCTGGTCTGTGGACGAAAGTATTACTAGTTCATTCACGGCACAATGTTTCTCCTGGTTTCCATGACAGCGCTGTTTGATCTAATAGAGATCTACGGTAAATAACGGAGAAATGTGAATGCTTCTCACTGACTAGATCTCGCAGCGATGCTATTACCTCAGTGGCGAATTCAAATGTTTTCTTTACCGGATCTCTTAGCGCGGTGTGTGTTAACAGTGTTGCTTGATCGAGATCGGCTCGCGCTGCACAGATGTTGCTCGTCCGAACTGATAAACGATCCGTGAAGCACATAACGAGTAGCGCAGTTTCGTTCTGCTTTCATTACGCTTGCCATTTGATGTTGCGCAACATTGTGTTGGCCGCGTCAGCACGAATTTTGCCGGCAGGAAAAATTATCCAAGCAACCGTTCGGTTTGTATGCGTACCGAACCGGAAGCCTAGAACCGAAACGGTTCAATACGAATACATGTACCGTTACACCCCTATTCAATACTGGCAAAACACATTTGAATTTAAAGTCTGAAGAATAAAGTCTGTTTATAGAAAAAGTTGGTTGCTGAATACCCCCTTCAAAGATATTTATGTTTACATGGTCAGTAGAAATACAAATTGTATAGGGAAGATTTAAACAACTATGTTTAAAGCGGGTTTTTTTTAACCCTCAGGTGCTCTTCGTTTCGGAGTCACACTTGTTATCTTCCCGGTCAAAAGTGACCGGACACCTAAAAATGAAACTATCTCCATCCCAGTAAAACCAATGCAATTTATTTTTGTTCTATAATATGTATTCTTTTTAATTTAGTATTTTGAGACAATTTAAATGAATTTATTAATATTTATGCAATATTTATGGTTTATTTTTGCCATAGAAAAATATATATTATTTTATATATATATATATATATTATTTTCTTCAAAAAAATATTAATGCAGTATTTTAGTTTAATATAGAGTCTAGGCCTTCAGAAAAAAAAAAATATTTTTTTGAAGGAAATTAGCACCATCTGGTTACAGTATAGAGAAAAAGCGTAGAATCATGGTGTAACCACTTGATGGCATGTACAGCTCTCTATTGAGAGGCATGTGAATTCCCCAGCTGTTTATGAACACATTTTTGTTGTTGTTGTTGGTGGATTTGTATATATAGTTGAAACAATCTCAAAAACTATTTCTTATAAAAAAAAAATGACAAAAACAAAATATTCACAATTTTTTTTCTTTTTTTTTTTTTTTTTTACAATTTCCCATCATTTCCTATGGGGTCATTTTTGACCAAAGACCACAAGTGTGACTATTTTTTTAAGACCACTTAGCATGCTCAGATCATGACCTCAATTTTTTTGTGTGTTCACATACATAATGCCATAAAAGTCACCAAGTTTCGTAACATCGCGATGAAGCTGTGATTTTTAAAAATTCAAAACATACTTTTTGTAATCAAAATGTATTGGTGTGTATGTGTATAAAAGTGTGTTTGTATGTGTGTGTGTGTTGGTGGGTGTGTCTGTTTTGCACTCTAGATGTTGTAGAGTGTCACCCTTTACTGCGGTGTACTTTTTTTTTTAGAATTGTGGCCGATTTCTAGATTGTACATACAAAAATTCAGAGAATTTTTTTTGTATCAATTTCCCATTCATTTCCTATAGGTTGTCATTTTTGACAGAAGAGCAAAAGTGTGACTCATTTTTTACGACCACTTAAATTGCTCGAATCATGACCTCAATTTTTTTGTGTGTTCACACACCCAATGCCATAAAAGTCACCAAGTTTTGTAATTTTCTGAAGAAGCTGTGATTTTTAAATATTTAAAACAGATTTCTTTAATCACAATTTATTGGTGTTTTTGTGTATAAAAGTGTGTGTGTATGTGTGTGCGTAGCGTCACCTTCAATGCTGAGCACTTTTTTTCTGCATCGTGGCTGATTTGTAGATTGTACACACAAAAATTCTCAAAGTTTTTGTGTTTTTGTCAATTTCCCATTCATTTCCTATGGTCGGTCATTTTTGACCGAAGAGCACAAGTGTGACTATTTTTTTTACGACCACTTAGCCTGCTCGGATCATGACCTCAATTTTTTGTGTGTTCACATACCCAATGGAATAAAAGTCACCAAGTTTCGTAAAATTCCGATGAAGCTGTGATTTTTAACATTTCAAAACATAAATTTTTTTCGGTCAGAAATGACCGAAGAGCACCTGAGGGTTAAGTGATCGTGTTATGTTTTTCATTTTGTAATATCTTTTTCTGTTTGTGGTGGTGTACATTCAGGGTTGCTGTCATTCAAGAAGTTATTGACCACATCTCCTATTGAGGCAGTAAGATGCAAAATACCTGAAGAAAATGGCACTTATCCTGGAGTTCATATAAAGGTAAGCAACACATTTTTAATTAATTTTAATTTAATTTTAAATTATTTATAGAACATGTTATTGTGATTATGTTTATTTAGTTGAACATAATTAAACATATTAGAATGTAGCCTATAGTTGAGCATGCAGACAAGCTGACATGACATGCAATTGGAGTCCACTGGAAAAAAGTCTTAGCATTTTTTTAAACAGTGTTTGAATTTGAGAGAATTAGGGATGGCTGATAATTTGTTTATGGTTGATAATTTAGTGAATGTAAAATACTGTACATTTGTTTTTCAACCTCAACCTGGTCTACATGATACTTTGTAGTGATACTTTCATTCATTTAATGATACTCATGATACTTTCCTTCATTTAATTTCTTGTGTAGCTAAAAACATATCCGTTTTTGTTTTTTTTTGTTTTTTCATTTCCAACTTTCCTGTGTAGAAATCTGGAACGAAGGTTGAAAAGGCTGAGATGAAGGAAATGTCCCCATTCCTCCAAAACTGCTGAAGTTCCTGTATGAACAAACTTCGAAAAACCAGGTAAAGTTTCAAGCTTTTGTCAAATCTCAAAAATGGAACTTTAACTGAACATACCGAAAAATGAACGTTTTTCATGCAAGTTGTTAAGATCTTAAAGGGATAGTTCACTTTGAAATACATTTTTGAAATCTTTTATACCTCAAGGACAGCCAAGATGTAGGTGTCTTTGTTTCCACAGTATTTCAAGTTGATATTTTTAGGTCAAACCGTTCTTGTCTGTCAGTCATATAATGGAGGTTTATGGGGTTCACCCTGGGTCCCTAAAGAGCATGCACAGAGAAGTCCAGAATGTAAGTACACATTGATGGCCTAAAACACGAAACGAGCGGTTTGTGTGAGAAAAAACAAACAGTATTTATATTGTTTTTACCTCTTGTAATCACAGCCTAGGGTTGAACCGACTAGTCGATTAGTCGTTCAAAAAAAAAAAACAGTGGTACCCTTACGTTTTTTTGGTGGGGCGAAAAATTAAGTTTCTCCAATCTTCTCAAAACTCTGGATTCTGATAGAGGGCCATGAGACTTAGTCCTGAGTGCAAAAATGGAGGCTCTAGACCCTTCCAGAGCTGAGATATCGAAACTCAAAAATTTCGACCCGAAAAAAAAACGACAGTGGTACCCCTTACGTTTTTTTTGGGGGGGGGCGAAAAATTAAGTTTCCCCAATCTTCTCAAAACTTAGACCTGAGTGCAAAAATGGAGGCTCTAGACCCTTCCAGAGCTGAGATATCGAAACTCAAAATTTCGACCCGAAAAAAAAAACGACAGTGGTACCCCTTACGTTTTTTTTTTTTGGGTGAAAAATTAAGTTTCTCCAATCTTCCAAAACTCTGGATTCTGATAGAGGGCCATGAGACTTAGACCTGAGTGCAAAAATGGAGGCTCTAGCCCCTTCCAGAGCTGAGATATCGAAACTCAAAAATTCGGCCCGAAAAAAAAAACGACAGTGGTACCCCTTACGTTTTTTTTTTTTTTGGCGAAAAATAAAATTTCTCCAATCTTCCCAAACTCTGGATTCTGATAGAGGGCCATGAGACTTAGACCTGAGTGCAAAAATGGAGGCTCTAGCCCCTTCCAGAGCTGAGATATCGAAACTCAAAAATTCGGCCCGAAAAAAAAAAACGACAGTGGTACCCCTTACTTTTTTTTTTTTGGGCGAAAAATTAAGTTTCTCCAATCTTCCAAAACTCTGGATTCTGATAGAGGGCCATGAGACTTAGACCTGAGTGCAAAATGGAGGCTCTAGCCCCTTCCAGAGCTGAGATATCGAAACTCAAAAATTCGGCCCGAAAAAAAAAACGACAGTGGTACCCCTTACGTTTTTTTTTTTTGGGCGAAAAATTAAGTTTCTCCAATCTTCCAAAACTCTGGATTCTGATAGAGGGCCATGAGACTTAGACCTGAGTGCAAAAATGGAGGCTCTAGACCCTTCCAGAGCTGAGATATCGAAACTCAAAATTTCGGCCCGAAAAAAAAAACGACAGTGGTACCCCTTACGTTTTTTTTTTTGGGCGAAAAATTAAGTTTCTCCAATCTTCTCAAACTCTGGATTCTGATAGAGGGCCATGAGACTTAGACCTGAGTGCAAAAATGGAGGCTCTAGACCCTTCCAGAGCTGAGATATCGAAACTCAAAATTTCGACCCGAAAAAAAACGACAGTGGTACCCCTTACGTTTTTTTTTTGGGGCGAAAAATTAAGTTTCTCCAATCTTCTCAAAACTCTGGATTCTGATAGAGGGCCATGAGACTTAGACCTGAGTGCAAAAATGGAGGCTCTAGACCCTTCCAGAGCTGAGATATCGAAACTCAAAAATTTCGACCCGAAAAAAAAAACGACAGTGGTACCCCTTACGTTTTTTTTTTGGGGGGGAAAAATTAAGTTTCCCCAATCTTCTCAAAACTCTGGATTCTGATAGAGGGCCATGAGACTTAGACCTGAGTGCAAAAATGGAGGCTCTAGACCCTTCCAGAGCTGAGATATCGAAACTCAAAAATTCGGCCCAAAAAAAAACGACAGTGGTACCCCTTACGTTTTTTTTTTTTGGCGAAAAATTAAGTTTCTCCAATCTTCCCAAAACTCTGGATTCTGATAGAGGGCCATGAGACTTAGACCTGAGTGCAAAAATGGAGGCTCTAGCCCTTCCAGAGCTGAGATATCGAAACTCAAAAATTCGGCCCGAAAAAAAAAACGACAGTGGTACCCCTTACGTTTTTTTTTTTTGGGCGAAAAATTAAGTTTCTCCAATCTTCCCAAAACTCTGGATTCTGATAGAGGGCCATGAGACTTAGACCTGAGTGCAAAAATGGAGGCTCTAGCCCCTTCCAGAGCTGAGATATCGAAACTCAAAAATTCGGCCCGAAAAAAAAACGACAGTGGTACCCCTTACGTTTTTTTTTTTGGGCGAAAAATTAAGTTTCTCCAATCTTCCAAAACTCTGGATTCTGATAGAGGGCCATGAGACTTAGACCTGAGTGCAAAAATGGAGGCTCTAGCCCCTTCCAGAGCTGAGATATCGAAACTCAAAAATTCGGCCCGAAAAAAAACGACAGTGGTACCCCTTACGTTTTTTTTTTTTTGGGCGAAAAATTAAGTTTCTCCAATCTTCCCAAAACTCTGGATTCTGATAGAGGGCCATGAGACTTAGACCTGAGTGCAAAAATGGAGGCTCTAGCCCCTTCCAGAGCTGAGATATCGAAACTCAAAAATTCGGCCCGAAAAAAAAAACGACAGTGGTACCCCTTACGTTTTTTTTTGGGCGAAAAATTAAGTTTCTCCAATCTTCCAAAACTCTGGATTCTGATAGAGGCCATGAGACTTAGACCTGAGTGCAAAAATGGAGGCTCTAGCCCCTTCCAGAGCTGAGATATCGAAACTCAAAATTCGGCCCGAAAAAAAAACGACAGTGGTACCCCTTACGTTTTTTTTTTTGGGGCGAAAAATTAAGTTTCTCCAATCTTCCCAAAACTCTGGATTCTGATAGAGGGCCATGAGACTTAGACCTGAGTGCAAAAATGGAGGCTCTAGCCCCTTCCAGAGCTGAGATATCGAAACTCAAAAATTCGGCCCGAAAAAAAAACGACAGTGGTACCCCTTACGTTTTTTTTTTTGGGCGAAAAATTAAGTTTCTCCAATCTTCCCAAAACTCTGGATTCTGATAGAGGGCCATGAGACTTAGACCTGAGTGCAAAAATGGAGGCTCTAGCCCCTTCCAGAGCTGAGATATCGAAACTCAAAAATTCGGCCCGAAAAAAAAAACGACAGTGGTACCCCTTACGTTTTTTTTTTTGGGGCGAAAAATTAAGTTTCTCCAATCTTCCCAAAACTCTGGATTCTGATAGAGGGCCATGAGACTTAGACCTGAGTGCAAAAATGGAGGCTCTAGCCCCTTCCAGAGCTGAGATATCGAAACTCAAAAATTCGGCCCGAAAAAAAAACGACAGTGGTACCCCTTACGTTTTTTTTTTTTGGGGCGAAAAATTAAGTTTCTCCAATCTTCCCAAAACTCTGGATTCTGATAGAGGGCCATGAGACTTAGACCTGAGTGCAAAAATGGAGGCTCTAGCCTTCCTTCCAGAGAGCTGAGATATCGAAACTCAAAAATTCGGCCCGAAAAAAAAACGACAGTGGTACCCCTTACGTTTTTTTTTTTGGGCGAAAAATTAAGTTTCTCCAATCTTCCCAAAACTCTGGATTCTGATAGAGGGCCATGAGACTTAGACCTGAGTGCAAAAATGGAGGCTCTAGCCCCTTCCAGAGCTGAGATATCGAAACTCAAAAATTCGGCCCGAAAAAAAAAACGACAGTGGTACCCCTTACGTTTTTTTTTTTGGGCGAAAAATTAAGTTTCTCCAATCTTCCCAAAACTCTGGATTCTGATAGAGGGCCATGAGACTTAGACCTGAGTGCAAAAATGGAGGCTCTAGCCCCTTCCAGAGCTGAGATATCGAAACTCAAAAATTCGGCCCGAAAAAAAAACGACAGTGGTACCCCTTACGTTTTTTTTTTTGGGGCGAAAAATTAAGTTTCTCCAATCTTCCCAAAACTCTGGATTCTGATAGAGGGCCATGAGACTTAGACCTGAGTGCAAAAATGGAGGCTCTAGCCCCTTCCAGAGCTGAGATATCGAAACTCAAAAATTCGGCCCGAAAAAAAAACGACAGTGGTACCCCTTACGTTTTTTTTTTTTGGGGCGAAAAATTAAGTTTCTCCAATCTTCCCAAAACTCTGGATTCTGATAGAGGGCCATGAGACTTAGACCTGAGTGCAAAAATGGAGGCTCTAGCCCCTTCCAGAGCTGAGATATCGAAACTCAAAAATTCGGCCCGAAAAAAAAACGACAGTGGTACCCCTTACGTTTTTTTTTTTTGGCGAAAAATTAAGTTTCTCCAATCTTCCAAAACTCTGGATTCTGATAGAGGGCCATGAGACTTAGACCTGAGTGCAAAAATGGAGGCTCTAGCCCCTTCCAGAGCTGAGATATCGAAACTCAAAAATTCGGCCCGAAAAAAAAAACGACAGTGGTACCCCTTACGTTTTTTTTTTGGGGCGAAAAATTAAGTTTCTCCAATCTTCCCAAAACTCTGGATTCTGATAGAGGGCCATGAGACTTAGACCTGAGTGCAAAAATGGAGGCTCTAGCCCCTTCCAGAGCTGAGATATCGAAACTCAAAAATTTCGGCCCGAAAAAAAAAACGACAGTGGTACCCTTACGTTTTTTTTTTTTGGGCGAAAAATTAAGTTTCTCCAATCTTCCCAAAACTCTGGATTCTGATAGAGGGCCATGAGACTTAGACCTGAGTGCAAAAATGGAGGCTCTAGCCCCTTCCAGAGCTGAGATATCGAAACTCAAAAATTCGGCCCGAAAAAAAAAACGACAGTGGTACCCCTTACGTTTTTTTTTTGGGCGAAAAATTAAGTTTCTCCAATCTTCCAAAACTCTGGATTCTGATAGAGGGCCATGAGACTTAGACCTGAGTGCAAAA